AGTTTAGAGAAACTGCACAGCTAATCAGGAAATCCTTTGTTATGCTTTGGTCTGAAGGAGAAACATTTGCTAAAAATCCGACTTACTTGTTTTAAAATGATTCAAACTTAATCATTTGAGGAGAAACATGGCATGCAAGTTCTGTATTTAATTTTATTTATTTATACATTTTCTCTCTTTTGTGTTGGTGGGGAAAAAAGGCTTAAGCAACAGAGCAGCATATCAGACGTGAGTCCTGACAACTGGAGAGAAAAGAAAAATGAAGCCACTGCGATCGGTCCAGAGTAGTACTTGTAGGTTACGATGACAGGCCAGCTTGCCTCAGTCAGGCTGGCTGAGCCAGCGTGAACTGCGGTCAGTGGTTATTAATCATTTGTCAAAGTCCGCAGGGCTTTATCATCTAATTATAGTTATAAGTATGTTTATATTACACAAACATGTGGCAAAGCTGCAAAGGATTCAAGCCTTAACACAATCGGCAGTGACATTTAAAAAAAAAAAAACTACAGATAGGCGATAAATCATAAAGCAAACACTTCAGAAAACCATGCCATTCATTACTGTTTGGGCATTCAGGAATTGTTTTCTAAACTGTTTATTTCTATAAACATTGAGAACCTTACAGAGCCTTTGACTACCTTCCCTCCTCCCCCTAATTTTCCAATGAGTTGTAAACATACCACGTATAATCATCATTTGAAATGAAAGACTGGTTATCGACTCCATCCACATGAACAGACAACCAGAATATAATCACAGCTTATTTTATAAAACCCATTTCTGAACAAAAATATCTCAAACTGTTCTGAAGAATCTACATAAACACATAAATGGATGTGCCTGAGGGACAGCTGTAAACCCCACAAACCAATAGATGGCATTTTACAATAAATGACTTAAGGCTGCAAACAGCATTCGTTTGGTAGCAGGTTAAGTTTACATGCTAGGAAACATTTCTCAACATGAATGAACTGTGAAATTGTTTCCTCCTACCCAACACGCCTCTAAACTGTATTGGATTATGTTAGCTGTGTCTGCACCTTGTCATAGAGGCTGTCACGGTCTCAAACGGCAGTGTGGGTGGACACTGGGGGCGAGGGCCCCAGAATCTGAGATACTGCCTTTAGGAAAATCTAGACACAAGGGGATAGGATGAGGTGAACCATGTGTATTTCAATTCCTAGACTGTAAATTTCTCAGGAAATGATTACCATTGTATCCCCACTCCATCCAATGTCAAGCATTGCCCTGTGAGTGCAAGTAGATTCTTACACTCTGAGGAAAACAATCTATGAATATATGTAGTGTTTTAGCTATTGGCATCCTAGAGTCAACTCTTCAAAACCCAAATTTGTCTGCTTTGTGGACTGCATGCTATCTTTAACCTTAATCAGAAGCACATAAAACTAAGAAGGTAGTTATGTTGCAGAGATAAGAATCTTCCCAGAGCAAAATGTAAATGAAAGACTTTGGAGATATTGATCGTTCTGTTACATTAATTAAGCTAATTGGAAACTGACTCTCTAAATATATGTTTGTGCGCGGGTACGAGTATGGGTATGAGAATGAGTGTGGGTACAAATCTTAGGTTCTTAGGTCTCTGGAGTAGCTGCAGACAGGTCACTGAAGCTGGTGTGGCCACTTCCTGTCCCACAGGGCACCCACATGCTCTCTCGATGCACCTGCATCCATATATGTCCCCTTCCCCATCATGTTTGCATTACTCTGGCCACAACTGCACTTAATTCAGGAAATGAAGAGACTACTTGCCTCTTGTGTGTTGTTTAGAGGCTTTGCAGGCAGAACTTTCAATCTGGGATTCAGGTTAGATGCTTGTTCATCCAAGGGGCAGACTTGGAAACTTGTCTTTTCATTTCTTACATTTTTTTTCCATCTTCATTATCAGTACCATTTAAATTTAAAGTTTAATTTTAAAGTTTTGTGTTTAGGGTCTAGGTGTGAGATCTATTTGTAAGAAATGTAGCAAATACAAACCTTAAAAGAATCATAGTTTTCTATTTTAAGTTAAATTACATGTATTACAGGATTCAATTTATCCCATTTTTATATGATCATCTATGCTGACCTTATAATTTTATCATTGTCTTTATTTATGGTCCAATAATGCCTTTCTGCCAATTCTTCCAAGCTGATGGATTTATGGAGCCAAGAGCCAAACCATGTAATCTGCAAGTTTTTTGAACAACTAAACAATAATTTTCTAGAAAACTGTTGGATAACCTGCTGGCAAATGGGGTTGGCAGCATTTTACTTTTTGCTTTGGATTTTGGCTTTTTATTTTATTATGTAAAAATGTAAATTAATTTTCCCTAAAGGAATGAACATGTAATTGGCTAAATAAAATATGCTGTATGTTAGGTTGGTGAATTTTCCTATATTATATCTTTGGGAATCAAATATTAAAAGAGATGTTTAAGGTTATACATTACTACATCTAAACACTAATTAATCCAACATTATGAGATGTATTTTCTATATAGGGCAGTGTCCCTCTGATGGTAGAACTGGGTTTCTTACGTAAAGTCTATAATGAATCTCATCAAAGCCACAGAATCAGGAACTTGGAAGTGACCTAAGAGAGCATGTAACTCAAATCCTTTCTTTTAAATACATGTTCATATTATTGGTGAGGTCTGAGCGGGTTGGGAGGCTTGTCTGAGATCATATGCTGGGTTAATAGCAGATTTAGGATGAGAGTTAGGTCCTCCTTCTCCTTTTATGGAAACAAAAGCCTCCACTTTCTAACACACCTTAGTCTCACTTTTCATTTGATCAGATTTATAAATTCTGACTACTTATAATTTGGATTGACATTGGATTTCCAGTTACCTTAAAAGTTTACTCATACACAGATAAAATGTTTATGAGCTGAAGGATTGTAAGAGACACATTTTACATGTCAAGAGCCAACTGATTTTCAGAATGTTAAAACATCTTTTTATATACACTGAAATTACGACCTCAATTTTGAACTCTGTATTATATCTACTTATGATAGTGGCAATTCCCCCTACTAGATAACATGAGAGAATGACCAGATCATGTGTATAGACCAGCAACACTGAGAAGTGATTACTAATGAAGAACATTTACTCTGCCTATGTTATAATATTCTGGGCCCCATTAAAAGTCCTATAAACCATGTAGGTGGTCTCCTGTCAGTTTTACATGGCTTGGTTGGCTGTTCATTGCTGATTGGACCAACAGTGGATACTTGGCCCAAGCTAGGCCAATCACATTCTCTCTCCTGGAAAGTTGGAATTGTCAGGCTGGGCATGCACTTTGAACTGTACTTTGAACTGTAATACATAAACTCAAGAGCTGTCAGACAGCCCTATGTGACTGGAAACAGAGAAAGCTGGTGCTTTGAGACCAGAATGGAACAGACAGGAAGAAGCAAGCAGAGATGGAGTGAGGAAATGCCTGGCTGCCTCTCAGTGTTCCAGCACCATACCCTTCCTGAGGCCTGGCTGCCCTTGGGTTCCAGGAGACAGCCCTGTATTCTTACTTGAAAAATCCTCCCTTTCTCTGTCTTTGTCTGTCTCTCTTTTAATACTAGCTAAGTTGTTTTTGATATGTTCAACCAATGAGTCTTAATTCAGATACTCTGAAATAAACTTTACACTTTAGAGCCAGAGCTACCGTACTATCACTGGTGTTTTGGTCCATTCCATGGCGATGGGACCTCTTACAGTATAGGTGAGAGGGCTTGATAATGAGATTCGTTATAATAACCAAGATCCTGTGGGTAGAGCTCAAGATAGACTGACTTTCAATAAATCCCTAATATTTAATAAATAGTGATAAAGTGATAAGGATTTGTACTGATAATTTTTTTTTAGTTCAGAAAATCACTTAATACTACATATATTTCAAAACACAAATTCAGATTTGCTTGCTTTAGTGAGCCTAAAATAATAGGTTTTGAGAAAGAGAGAGAGAGAAAGAGAGAGAGATGTGCATGTGTGATCATGAGCAGGGAAGAGGGGCAGAGAGAGAGAGAGGGAGACAGAGAGGATACCAAGTAGGCTCAACGATATCACGTCAGAATCTGCCGTGGGGCTTGATCCCACCAACCATGAGATCATGATGTAAGCGGAGCTCAAGAATTGGACGCTCAACCAACGGAGATACCAGACGCCCCAATAATGAGGTTTTTCTACATTGACAAATGATGCATAATGTCAATGACATTTTTGAAATAATGAAATAGTTTTGAGATTATTAGCTTTTGAAATTTGAAAACAAGAGAATGGCCTTTGAACTGATATAAGCTATCTTGATAAATTTAAAGGGACCAGATAATACAAAAAAATTCATGCCTAAAATGTACTAAACATTACATACCAATTAAAATCAAGTATCTATGCAAATAGAATAATATGAAATAAATTAACACTTAAAGACAGTTCACTGTGTGCCGAAAACTGTGCTATGAATTTTTCATGTATTCGTTCATATGATTATCCCAAGAGTATGGGGTAATTATTATGCCTGGGTGACCTTGAGTTAAATGGCTTGCTCAAAAATCTTACAGCTAGTAAAAGACAGAGGTATCACTTAAACCCAGGTAGACTGTTAACCATCACACCACATTCTCAATAACAAAAAGTAGATTGAACTTAGACTCCTAAGGAAAAGAAATTTGGAAGTTCTTTGGAAGTTTTGGAAAACAATTTTGGGAAAACAAGAAAAATGCACAATCTTTAAAAAACATTTTTTTAGTGTTTACTTATTTTTGAGAGAGAGAGAGAGAACAAGCAGGGGAGGGGCAGAGAGAGAGGGAGACCCATAATTTGAAGCAGGCTCCAGGCTCTGACCTATCAGCACAGAGTCTGATGTGGGGCTTGAATCCATGAGCTGTGAGATCATGACCTGAGCTGAAGTCGGATGCCGAACCGACTGAGCCACACAGGCACCCTGCACAATCTTTTAAAGAATTTTTTTTAAAGGACACTTAGCTTATTAATGATTCTTACCGGGGATTAGAAGGAGAAGGTGGATTCATTTCTTGCTGATAATGATGACCCTGGTTGACGGGCTGTAAAAGAAAAACATTTGTGAGGTGCTAATCAGTGTTGTGTTCTTTACATATACTTTCACATGCACTCTCAGTGCTGTCATTTTTTCCTGAGGGACGATCTGCAAGGAGGGGCTGTTTATTTTACAGAAGACTCAAAGGCTGTTTTGGAAGATCCAGCAAATAACACAATGGTACACATGAGAAAAACACATGTTATTTTAATGGCCAGTCACTGCACTAGATCGCTTCTATGGTGTAAAATTCACACGTGGAATCTTCCTCCCTGTGGAATTTTTACGCTGTTAACATTCATTGATATTTCCAGCTACAGTAAAATAGAAGATATTTCATGGAGCTAATGTTGCACAGTAAGTATCAGCAATAACTCAGAGACCCAGAGATAGGGAATATATATTTATATCTCAATGTTAGCAAGTTTGCAAGGATAGCCTGAATGTTCACTAATGGAATTACACATGTAAATCTTAGGTCAAGGTGGTCATTTTCCCCAAGTGCATAATAAAACCTCAAGCACTAATCAGTAAAGTGGAAAAAAAAACCCAAAAAACAAAACGGTGCCAATACCTAAGAAAAATATGAAATCTCAACTTTTCCCTCCACAAAAAACATTTAAGTTACTATTTCAAAGCACCACTAAACTACCACATCCCCAAATAAGCCTTAAACTTTTGCCTCCAATGGAATTTGATGTTTTTCCTTGGTTCTATAAAGGGAGACAATTCCACTATATCTCTTTTTGAACATCAGCTTGCAGTATTTTTCTCATGTGGTTAACAACCATGTAATTCTAATACTAAAAACATTTTTTAACATTCTCATTTTATTACAAGCTGGAATTTGGTATATATTTTTGAATTGCATTTAGAGGATCTCCATTACTTCCTTACCCAATAGCGTTGGTGTTAAGCCTTTTTCACCCATAATGTGGCCCCACAGGGCTGACTCCAACTGAGGGAAACGGTATGGCAATGGTGCCTGTACATACAGAGCACATATTCCTTATTTTCCACATACTTATTTTAACGGGTCCTAAAATATTAAAGATGTGGGTCATGGGAATTCTTTGGAGTAAACTGTCTCCCTCTATAAATATCTCTTGGAAGTGTTCCTTTAATTTAAATCAAACACCCTGTCTGATAATCACAGTCACTTAGCCTGACTCTCTGTGATGCACCATGAATTTAAATGCACTCAGATACTTTGGTAATTGAACCGATATCAATGCATCACCATCTCAGTAATAAGAAACAACAGCTGGGAAAACAGTGGAAGGAAAAACATGTCATAAGACATATTTGATCTCACTGGAGAAATAAGACTTCCAGCAATTTGCAAGTGAAATTTAGTTTTATGATTTAGGCTTTATTATTTCACAGCAGAGAAAGGAATTAGCAAGCAAAGGGTCTAACGGGTTCTCTAGAGCATCTCACATGGTTGCAGAAATACTCTTGATAATCTGTTCATTGGTATTCGTCCAGTATTTCAGCTGTACTTGGCCTCCAGTGAATGGGCCTCCCCTGATTCACTTCCAGAGGACTTTCCATAACTCTCTAAGTACCACAGTGCTGATATTCAGCAAATTTCCATCTTCTCAATTTTATACCATTAATTCTATTTACACCTGTCTCCAACCCCCTTATTCCAAATGACTTACTCCACCCTCTGGAGAATAGAAACGGCTACAGAATCCTATCTTGTTTGTGACTTAGCTCTCACTTAAGACTACACAGACTGACCCTTTCCACATCTCCTGTCTATATAAAAAAACTGATCCAGTGATACAAGGAGTGAAAAAGAACACAGTCAACAAAAGATTCCCATGAATAGTGGTTTCTTAGTGTTAGAAAACAAACAAAATAACCAGTGGAAATGTTTTGAAGTAGTAAAGATTGCTGATGGGAATGGACAGAAAGGTAAAGGAAAAAAATTCAGTTAAAATAATTGTAGGGTGATGGAACTCGGTCTGAATACCTGATTCCTTAATTTAACTTTTAGTATTGAAAGCGAATTACCAAGTTGTCACTCCTAGATATTTTAGTCAATAACCAACTTCAATTTAGTGATGGCATATCATGGCAGAGCATTCTGACTTACACACATAACTGCTATGAACTGACTTCTACACCCCCAACGCTAGTGACTCCGTCTGGGAAGGAAGCACGTTTTGTTTTGGGGTGGGTCCCAAAACCAGGTGGACTCAATTTACTTTCTCTGTACATGTCTCCCTATTGCATGATCAGACTCAGGGACTGGAAGGGATCATGGCAATGATGCAGCTAAAAAGCCCCTCCAAGATATTTCAATTCCCTTAACTTTGCTTTGATGCTTTGAAAGGGCAGCGCTTTCACTAGCGTGAGGTCTTTTTGTTTTCTTAGATCCAAATCAGAATGAATGAGAAAGTGCCTAATGGTTTCTAAAAGCTCTCTGAATGTGATGGGGTGGGGATGGGGGAAGTGTGATGGGCTGTCTGAAGCTACATGTCTCCATCCACAAATGGAAATAGGTATGTTTCGATACATATGCAGCAGTAAACCTATTTGCACTATTTCTAGGTAGGTAATATTCTATGAAAGCACAGGTTAAAAAAATAAAATTGTTTTTTTGGCTTTGGAATTCAGCCATATTCAGGCTATTAACACCATAAGAAGCAGCAAAAGAATAGCAACCAATACCTACCAATAACTATGACAATAAGAACAGCACTAGCTGATATTCACTGAGCACATACTCTGTTCCTTGCAGCAATTCTATGAAACAGACAGGATTAATGACTATCCAAAAGAAGAGGAAATTCAGGCACTGGGTGTTCACCCAAGGTCATGCCAGCCAGGAAATAGTGGAGTGAGAATGTGAACCCAGTTTAGCACAGTCTACCCTTTTAACCATTAGGTTGTAGTGCTTACTCCAGCTCACAGGTTCACCTACAGTGGTGAATACCAAAGTTGTTGAAAACAAATATGAAAAACTCAGTTCACCTTATGGCAGGAAGAAAAAAAGTGGTCTGAGATAATTATCTGACGTCTAAGACTACTTCCTCACCGTAAATAAAACTCATGTGATTTCTTTCCTAATGAAATGTCACTTTATGTTTAAAATTAAAGAAAACAGGGATGCCTGGGTGGGTGGCTCAGTTGGCTAAGCGTCTGACTTAGGTCATGAACTCATGGTTCATGGGTTCAAGCTCCGTGTCAGGCTCTGTGCTGATAGCTTGGAGCCCGGTGCGTGCTTCGGATTCTGTGTCTCCCTCTCTCTCTGCCCCTCCCCCCCCTCAAAAATAAAATAAGCATTAAAAAATAATAAAAAAATAAAATTAAAGACAGTAAGTTTTGCCATATTGTTAAATTTGGGACAAACATAAGATATAATAGATAACACTCTGAGAACGAGGGCAGTTTATTTCACGGGGTGACTTTCATAGTCACTAAACACAGAACTCAGACATTTCATAGTCACTATGGAGTGACTATGACTTTCACTAGTCACTATGACTTTCATAGTCACTAAACACAGACTCACACATTTCAGTGTTACACTGACTCCAATATCAGTTTTCATATATCATTTCTATAGTGGTATAAGAACATCTGCTCATCAGATTTATCTGCAGCTTAGCACAACCAACTCCTTACCTTTTTTAGTTCAGGAGAATTAAAAGAAAACTCATTACACCCAAAGAGAATTGAGAAGTTAATGAATGTGTAGATCAGAACAAATTAAGAGCTATTAAGTATAAAGAACCTGAAATGCCAATATATTATATATTGGACACGTAGCAGCGAGCAATCATTACGTAAAACGCTGATATGCTGATGAGCAAAGAAATGGAACAGATCCTAGAAACGCAGGCCCTGGTCCTTTTGGTGGCGCTGTTGCTATGCACTAGTGTCAGGAAAACCCAAATTCCTAAAACTTGCCACGAGCACAAGAAGCTTTGCTTCCCCATGATCAAGCTGCTAGAAATTCTGGGGTGAGGGAGAGAAGAGAAGGCTAAATAAAAGAACAGGAGATAAGATAATCCTGCCATGTTAAAAGGTAAAGACAATATTTTCATGTTGTTATGTAAAACCTATGAAAATGGCAAAAATGTTGCAAGGTTAATCAAGACCATAAATAACTTGTCTGAGAACCTCACCATATGCTTGTAATTTTATTAAGTGCATTTTGCCTGGTTTCCCCAAATAGTATGCTCTGCAATGTGCCATGTTGATGGATGCATGCGATGAGCGTTTTTTTTTTTTTTTTTTTTAAACAAGCTGAGGAGAGTTATGTGCTTGATATTAGATTATGGGAATTCTTAACTTGAAGGAATGATGGCTTTAGGGTATCTGCCTACAGGGTAGCATGCACATGAGGAACGCTTTTCTTGAATCTAGGGTAAAGGCAGGACAGAGAAATAATGAAAGAGTGAAATAATAAAATAACGGAAGGGTTTATTTGTAAAGCTCTGAGGGGTAAGTCTGGATTTCAGTGGTTAAGCTCACATCCAAACAAGCATAGTAGAACCTCTACCTATCCTTAGAGCCCTCAGCGGTCACAAAAAAGGGAAATGTCCTAGAAATCTTTTCTGATCACTCAGGTGGCCCTTTGAGGAGAATAACTTTGGGGGAGCAGCAGATAAGAGCTGTGCGTGTACTCTGCTAGGCACTGGGCATGTGCATTCCCCACACCCATTCAGTTCTCACCACGCCAATAAAACGAAGCCCTTTTATTACTCCTAAGTTTACAGGCGATCGTGCCAGTAAATGGAAGAGCTGGGATCTGAGCTCAGGTTGGCTGATGCAGGGTCTACATTCTTTTGGCAAGAAGCTGCTACCATTAATAGCTACTCTTTTTCCTTAAAAAGAAACCATACACATACCCACCTACCTATGACACGGTTTTATGCTATTGTCAATCAAAAGCCCTCACCAAAATAAAATTCATTTAAGAATCCATCATAAGCAACTCCTAACTCCCTTCCTAAGGCTTCCCAGAGCCAAGTGTTTAAATAAATCTCA